TCCAATCATAAACCAGGTGAAGTTCTGTGGTCCAACCAACACTGCTCAAGTAATTTGAGCATCAAGGCACACTGATGATCAGCTGCTGCATGGTTCTGCCAGGCAAATTCATAGGAGTATAAATAAGGAAAAAAAAACCCACCAGGATATTCAGAACGTTGCCATCCAATTCAAGATGCTGCCTGGGCTGATTGTCAGTGGTCACTTGTGACAAGATGACTGGTGAGAAGAGGAAGGAGGTGATAAGTTACAGGCAGGCAAAAGAAAAGTCATGGAGAAACAGAGAATACTTTCCAGAGCAAAGAGGTTACTCTTTGAGTAAATTACTCTTTGAGAAAGAAGGGCTGTTTTTGCAGCAAAGAGCAGGTTTTCTTCAGAAATGGGCCTGAATTGCACCATTATAGAGATGGGGGTGCATTCCTCCTCTTGGGAATCCATGGCTTGTTTGCTAGTGAGGGAAGAGGGATGCAATCTCCTTGGTCCTACCAGTAAATCTATCCCAAATAAAACCAAATCTGAGTAAACTGGGGGAGGGTTTTGCTTGCTTTTGTGGGGATGTTTTGCATGGAAACATGTGCCTTGTTAAGTGTATCCACATACATCACTGCAACTGCTCCTTGAATCAAAAAGTATTAACAGGGTAAATTTCAAAGGAAGAAAAACTCCCAATGTCCATTTTAAATTAAAGGACAACTTAAGAGACAGGTGTTCTGCTACATTTGACCTATCTATTATGGTCTTGGCAATGTTTTTAAAAGCTGTCACCTCAGTACCATTTCTTAAGGGATGGGAAAGAAGGACTGCCCACTCTGATGCAGGAATGCCCTGAAGGGAGGATTGGGGGAATGGAGGAACAGAGGCAGTTGTACAAATTGTGGCTAAACAGAAGATCCACGCTGGCATCACCGATGAAAGAGAAACAAAGATATGGTAAGAAAGAATGGAATGTGTGAAAGAAGAAGGAAGTTTGGCATCTGGGAAGTGAGGGTAAGAAGAATGGCCTTGCTGAAGGCTGGGAAAAAAGCAGTGTAAAGAGTATCTGGAGGATGGTGGGAACAGGGATTTGTCACTTGGATTTTGGGATGGGCAGACAGACGGGAGGCTGTGGTGAGGAAGGAGACACAGAAAGGGGCACACAGCAGACCAGGCTGGCCCTCAGAAGGAGGTGGGGGAAGGTGGCAGGCGGTGCAGGTTGGGGGAGGTGGGGATGGCTGCCAGCCTGCCTGGTGATGGGGTGGCATTGTCAGTGCTGGTACTGTCAGGGATGGCAGATGACAGGAGCAGGAAATGGGGAATCTGGGAGAAGAAAGCGCTCTCAGCCCCCACCACCGCCATGGGAGGGGTGAGTTCAGCTTCCATCTCTCGGCGTAGCTCCTCAAAATCTGGGGCCATCTGGACACAGTCCTGTCCCTCCTACAAGCTGTCAGCAGCACCGAGGGATTGCTCTGGCAGCCAGGACTCCCTGGCACATCCAAGAGCCTCCGTGCTCATGGCCAGAAGGGCAGATGGCAGCGGATCCAGCACGGTGCCTTTGCACCACCTGGTGTCCCCTGCAGAGCCAGGTGAGCCTGGCCTGGGCACAGCCCTGTCACTCAGCCAGGTGCTGCAGGGCGCTGGGAGGGGACACCTCAGCTCCCTGGGGGATGGGAGCCACGGTGGGAACCTTCAGGATGGCCACGTTTGGTTCTGGCTGGCTCTGCTGTGTCGAGCAGCAGCTCGAGAGGGGTGACAAGCAGGGCAGCGAGAGCTTGGCTGGCACAATGTCTGCAAAGAAACAGATACTTGCAGTGCTCAGCTCAGCTCCATCTCCTCAGCACCTCCTCTGCCCATAAATTGAAATTTGGGCTGGTGTTTTGAGTTGTTTCTGCAATGGGTATGAATAAGAGTTGCTGGAAGTACTGGCTATTCCTGATCGTGCTCACCTGTACATCAGGGATTATTTTATTCATGAAATGTTTCACTAAACCTCAACCTTCCCAGGAACAACACTGCTTTATTACAGCAAATCTGGTAAGGGGCACCTGCAAAGGGAATGCTTTGGGCTAAGAAAGTAACGTGTGGTTTTTTACTTAGAGCTGCAGAAAACAATACCAAGGATTGCAGCTCTTCATTCTACAAAAAACCAGACCAAACCCAACCCAACAAACAAACAAACGATTCAAAAATCATGCCAAAAATCAAGACTTGTAATAAGGACAGTGTAAAATTCTGTATCAGAGGAGATGACATGGGAAGTAAGTGGTGACTGTGAACTGGTTAAAGGGTCTGTTCTCCCTGGCAGTTTCTCTGTCACCCCAGGCATTGCCTCCTCACAGATGTTGTTCCTGGGAAAGGGAAGAGGTTGTGGCTGACTCGTCCAACCCTCAGCCCTAACAAACTCTTCTGGCAGAGGAGACTCTGAGACTTTTAGCTTAAATCCCATATGTGCATGTATTTCTTCTGCTGGAAAGTAAAGATGCTTAAAAAAATGACAACTATTTCTGTTAAATTGTAAGATTTCTCCAATCTAGGTATGACATTGTGGCCAAAACCTTTGAGGCAGAAATCCTCCCAGAAGAAAAACAAATTGACCCACGGTGAAGGTATCCACAGAGTGAAGCAGAAAAATAAATAGGTTTGAACACAAGTTTTCTCTGCATGATAAACAGGCTCCCTAAACATTGATTTATTAGTCATTCAGTAAAGAAGAGGAGAAAGAAGAGAATAAAAAAGATTCTGGATTGATAAATTTGTAAAAGCTTTAAATTTATTTTACCACATAACATGAAAATTTATGCAATGAATTCATACATAAACAAATAATGAAATATCTTTAAACACACAGATAAGTGTGCACACATAATGCACTTGTAGGGAGCAGAGCCCAGTTTCAAAAACTGATCTCAGAGCACAGTGGACTGCCCAGCTGTGTCACTGTACTGTGGGACAGCAGCCCCTGCCATGGCCAAACTCCCCTTTTAGGCAGGGTGAAGAGATGAAACCCTGTGACACTGTAACCCTGGCACAGATATCTGATAGAATGCTGTAAGTGCAGGGGATGTGGCTCAGGGGAGGCACATATTAGCTGCAAATATCATTAAAGCAGCTACCAATTTAAAAATGCATAAAGTGCAGAAGAAACTGAGCCATAGCAAAACCTGTTAGTGATAAAATTGGAAAGAGAAGCACTGAGCGCCCAGCTGGTTAAATCATGATGGAGGGCAAAATGGAGTGAAAAATAAACACCAGATTTAGAAGCACACTCGATATATCTGGCAGCCTGCAGGAGCTGGTGCAGAGATGTCTGTGACCATGTCAAAACTGCCCAGCTCTGTTCAGACCCACACACATGGTGCTGGTGCCCTGCAGAGCCTCAGCCCCCTCCACTCGAGCAGGGAGTGAGCAGTGACCCAGCCCTGCCCTGGCTGGCCCTGCTGGCAGAGAGGACTGGACTCAGACTCTCAGAACGGATTCATCCTCATAGAATCATGGAGCCACAGGATCCTGGAGTGTTTGGGTTGAGAGGGACCATAAAGATCTCTTTGTAACCCCCCTGCCACGGGCAGGGACACTTTTCAGCAGCCCAGGTAGATCCAAGCCCCATCCAACATGGCCTTGGACACTCCCAGGGATGGGGCAGCCACAGCTTCTCTGTGCCAGGGCCTCACCACGCTCACAGGGAAGAATTTCTTGCTAGTATCTAATCTAAATCTACCCTATTTCAGTTTAAAGCCATTACCATTCATCACTGTACCCCCTAATGTCTTGAACATCTATATCCCCTCGAAGGATCTGGGGGCAGTTCTGTCATCAACAGAAAAAAAATTTCAGGAGACTGGTATTCATAACCATTAGGTGACTTCAGTGCTCAACATCCACTGATTTTAACACAGGAGAAGTTTTTAAAACTTCTTTTATTTTCCTGATTAGCTCCTATGAACTCAGCTTCTGGGTGTCCAAGCTCTCACGAAAAATCAAAGGAAGCCTGAATGCAAAGCAAAAGCACAGTTGTCACTTTAGTTTACTCATGCTTGTCCCAGAAAATGAAAAGAGGCTTTTTCTCACTTTGTATTTTTTTTTTTTTTTAATGCACTCGTGCAACACAGTTGTGTTTGGAGTTAAACTTCTTATTGTCATGTTGGAAACCCAAACTGTGAATGCAAATCTCCTGATGGCTCAGTACCAGACCTGTGAGTCTCATTGCTGAGACATCTTTGAAAATTTGGCCTCATTTTGTAGTGACAAAGTGACAGATTCCTCTGGTAAGGAAATTCTGGTGAGCAGAGTGCCTGGAGGTTTGGCTAATTTGCTAGGATTACAATTTGGGTTTTAATGACAGTATCTTAGTTTTCCCTCAAACCAGCCATCAAAATAGAGCTCTGCTTCTAGAGAAAAGTAAATCCACAAAGATGCAAAAGTAGATTTATCCCATCTGACTGGTGCTCCAAAGCTCCCAACTAAGCCTGTGTTCCCCTTGTCACATTTCCTCTGCCAGAACCTGGGTCTGGTTTTAATGTTCTCACATTTTTTTGAGCAGCCAGGATTCTTGGGAAGACAATTTTCACCCTGTTTACTTCAGAAATCAATTGGGATTTCTGTCTCACACTGATCCTGAGCATAAACCTTGTCTTCTCCTCTTAGGTCTTCATTTCAGGACCCAGTGGGATGGGTGGGATGGTTCTCCTGCCATCCTGAGCTTGTGCTGCTCTGTCACACAAAAGGGAAGCCTTGTGCCAGGATCAAGTCCACCAACTCCTTCACATGTTCAAAGACACCTTTTAATGACAGAAATTCTTCTCAAGCCCTTGCCAATTAAGCCCACTTTAATAACTCTGACCATTTATGTGACATATTTCATCTTGGAAGAGCTAATAAAATCACAAATTACTGTTCACAGTGCTCCCAAGAGGAAGCTCATCATTATCACATCCTCACTCCTTTGATGGGGAAACTGAGGCAATGTGTTTTAAGGACAAAGAGTGGAGTCTTTGCCAAACCACCCAGGTGAGTTCAGCGCTCTGCATGCTCCCATGTGGGACAAAATCTTCTTCTGCAGGGCATAAAGGGAGAATCTCCTGGTTTTCCTCATCAGAAACATGCAAAGGTGAAAAAGGGTCATGAAAATGATGTCTGCGGATCTTCCAATTCTCTGCTGGGCATTTGAACTTAAAATGCCAGCAATGCTTCTCTCCCTTGCTCTCAAGAGGAAAGCTATATCTGGAGTAGGGCAACATGCCTTAATTTGAGAAATTTAATGCCTTCGAAGCGCTACCAAAGCACAATTAGCAAATAAAAAAACCCCAGAAGTCAAGGCAGGAGACCTGAGTATGCAGTTCAAACATCAAAGGAGTATTACCTGTGCTTTCATCTCCCTTTCCTCTTGTGAGTCAAAGATACAACATATCACTGCATATTTTAAGCATTTTCTGTTCTGAAAGCTTAAATGTCAGTGTAATTACCCCAATGGTAATTTCTGTTTGTTGTTCCAGGCTGGTACTTCAGCAGAATCTCCCAATTTTCACATGATTATCTCCATCTCTGCCTTTGATAGGTTTGTGTCCAATTCACTCTGGATTTGAACTGCTTCACATTCCTTGAAAATCTGCTTTGAATGCTGCCAAAGGAGGTATGGTACTGACTGTTGTGGGGCATTTTTGATGTCCTTTTTCCCCAGGTTCCCCCATCCTCTTTCCCAAGTGCAAGATCACCTGGTTGCACCAAGACCCACAGTTCAGAGCAATCTGTAATGTAACCACCTGGAATAGAGCATAACTTTTACCTTTTTCTTTATTTTCCACCTTTCTTTCTTTTGAATAAACTTCACAGTTGAGGATTATTGACAAATCTGCTTGAAAAAGACACACGAAGAGCATCCTTTATGGTCCATCTTGTGGTAAAACACGGGCATTTCTTTGCTCATTTGAATGTCAGTGGATTATTTATGCTGGTGCAATGTTTTCAAGAGATAAAATACTCCCCACTGTGCTACATGCAAATCTCTGCAATGTAAACATAAATAGTTGTTGCACATGCATAATCAAAGACATTTTTTATAATTATTGTTGGATAGTTCAGTCCTCTAATAGCATCATCTGGTGTAAATCAGTGTAGCTCTACTGAAGCCTGCAAAGCCCCTACCGATTTGTACCAGATGGGGCTCAAACTCTTCACTCTAAGTTTAGTCCTTCTAAAAAGAAAAAAAATGGAGAGAAAGCCCTGGTAGTCCTTGAAAATGAAGTTCTTTGCTCATTCATGAGAAGCTGGTAAAGCAAGAATGGCAGGGGCTTTTCTTGATCCATACTCAGCCCTTATGTAGGGAGAACATTTCTGCCACGGAGGAAAGGAGGAGGTTCTGTGCCAAGTGAGCTCCTGCCCCTCTGCTCAGACTCCTGCAAAGATTTGCCAGATAATGGCATTTATAACGTGAACTCCTTTCTGCCAAGATTTGGACCAAGACCACCAGCTCTTTAGCATGGGCCAGCAGACACTGCCAGATGCTAAAGATTTTCAGTTGTTCAGATCCTCTGCTGCATTTTGAGACACCCGAAGGTGAAGGGCTGGAAATCTGGTTTTCTGTCCCCAGAGCGATCTTGTTTCACTGTCATTCAGCATTGTCTTTTCTCCAGCATTGTACACAGCACAAAGAACTTTCTAAAGCTACTTTGACACCTGGTTTGACTCCAGCTGAAGACAGCAACCTCAATTTCATCTTTCTTGTGTTCTGTAGAAAACTGCTCTGAGTTAATATAAAAGACAATATTCAGCAGCATCTATTTTCACAAATTAATTCAGACTACGTCATTCAAATAGGTGCTAGTGGAAGCTGCCTGTGCAGATTTCAATGCTATAAATATACAGTTATTTCCAAATCAACAACAGTGTCTTAACTGCTGTACACAGTATTTTATCAACAGACACAAAGTTAACTTTGCTTGCATAAAAAGGGGTGGAAAATTAGGAGTTTGCTTCCCCTCTTTTGAATGCCGACAGCAAAAATATCCACTAAATACCAAAAATTACCTATTAATAATAGATTGGAGGAGAGAGTTTTGACAGAAGTGAAGAGTACACATATACAGCATAGATTTACCCACCTTGCAAACAACTTAAAGTCTGTGCTCAGCTCTTTCAGGTTTACCTGTCAGATTTTTTGCCCATTGTGTTTTCCATTTGCCGACAAGATCCTCCAAAAGAGTTGCTGTTATTCTTGTATAGGCTTGACGTGGACATAAACTTTTTTGCAAGAAGCCTGAGCCACTGTTAGCAGCTCTTGAAGAGCTCCAAGTCCGACGTGGGTTTAATTTGTGGTGAGTGCCATGGCAGAAATGTCTAACAATATAAGTCTGTTGGACATGTCGTCTGGGCTGTCACGTTCAATTTGCACATGACCTCCTGGCCAAAAAATGGGAAAGAAGTGGTAGAATGTGGGACTGAAAGCTTATATTATTGCTTTGACAGCTTCACTCATCTAGAAGTAATGCAAAATGCAATTTATATTTATACTCTCTGACCTTCTGTACAGAGAGTGAAACTATCTAATGATGGGCCATGGTAGCAGAGAAAGAAACAGATCTCAATGCAGCTGGAATTTGTCTACATTTTTTTTTTTTTTTTTTTTTTTTTTTTTTTGCTTTTCAACCATTCAATTACAGTCAGAAGATAAATGAAACATGAAGAGTGTCTTGGTTAGGTAGTGACACAATTATTTCATAGCGAGTAGGTTCTGGCTCTGAGCCTTGGCAAAGGTTGCCATGCACACCTTGTTTCACTAGATGCAGATAATCTGCCTGCTCCCACCAGACAAATCCCCTCTGCTTGGAGGTGTGTCCTTCTGCCCATCACAGGAGGAGAAAAAAGACACCAGCAACTCGGCAGCACTCTTGCCCTGCATTTCAATCTCCTCCAGAAAGGCTGATGCTCTAATCCTATTAACCACCATAAATCAAGTCAGGCCCTGCTGTAAACAGGGCGTGAGGCATTTCTGTGGAAAACAGGCAGAGACGAAGAATGAGCCACGTTCTTCTCATCTGAGGAGCAGCACGCGGCTTTGTGTCCTCCCAGGGAAAAGAAATAAATGCAGCAGCCTTTGATTGTGACAGGAACCACCAGGTAACACCTGAAGATCCTTAACAAAACACCCCAGAGCTGGTGTCAGCTCAGCATCCTTCAGAGGGGCTCGCTGCAGCCACGGTCACAGCAGCAGAATTTGGCTCAAAGATTCAGCCTCCAGCTGCATCTGTTTCTACCTTCTCATCCAAATAAGACACAGGATTTGAAGGAAAAGTTGTTTCCAGGGATGAGCATGAAGAGGAGATAGCAAACAGAAAAAACAAAGTGTGGGGTTTATGCATCTCAGGGTATTTTGGACAACAACATCGGTTTGAACTCATCTCTCACTCCATTGATCCATCCTGCTTTAAACAGGAGTCGATCCAAAGTCCACTGACCTTACTAGTGAGAGTTTTATAAATGGTTGGAGGCTGTGAAACAGTTTTAGAAATTAGGTGTTCGTATAAAGCAGTTGCTTGTTTTCTGTCTAATTGTTTTCTTGTGGTTTGCCATGTTTTTCTATTGTACACCAAATTAATAAAAATCACTGGATGATGATTTCAACTGATGTTTAACTTTCTCCATGGAATTAAAAAAAAAAAATATGTGTTGACAATAATAAAACATTAAACAGATGGTCACTATACAGTTAATGTGTCAGAAAAGAATAAAAATGCAGAAACAAAGGCTATGAGAAGGTCATGTTTCATAAACAAATACAATAAGATGAGATAACTAAGACAAAATAGTTCAATGATGAGAGGCTGAGTGAGGAATAATATGCGATTTATCTTTCTTTTAGCTCATTTCTCAGTGAGAAAAAGCACTTTGTCCAAACTATTAGTTAACCTACAGGTTAAAAAATTACTTCTGCAACTTTTGGAGCAGAATATGATTATTTATTTATTTATTAAATTATATATTTCTAATTTATTAGGATTATTTATTAAATATTCTATTTATTTAAACAGAATATTTACTAAATTATTAGGAAATTTGACATCTAGCTAATTTGTGGAGTTTCTTCCCCTGGTCCCTGCAGGTTGGTGCACTCTCTTGACTTTTCAGGGTGTAATATTTCAGCTCATGGGTTCAAACCTTGGGCCACACATGAGGATTGGGATCCCTGGGGGCAAGGGCAGCTCGGAGGATGCCCAGGGCTGTGTGAGGGGCATTTTGCAGCATGAACCTCACAGTTGGTGCCCAGGTTAAATCCATACCCACCTCCCCAGGGCTCCTCCAGCCCCAGAGCACTGCAGCCCGACCAGGAGGGATCAAACCCAGGGATCTGCTTCCTTTTTGTTCTTTTCTTTCCCAAGTGGACAGCTAGAATAATAAAAAAAAAAAAAAAAAAAAAAAAAATTAAAACAACCAAAAAACAACACCTCCACAGGTCCAAAACCTTGTCTAGGTCTGACTCCTGCTGGTGCCACCAGAGGCTTTGCCCTTGGCAGCATGAGGAGAGGGATGAAGCCTCTGATTTGGGTGGGAGGGAGAGGAACGCCCCCAGGAAATTGCAAGGTTGCTTTTGCAACCTCTTGCCCAGCAGCTGGTACAGCAGCAGCGCCTCCCCTCACACACTGCACAGAGCTTTTCCAGCTGAGTCACTAAATCAGGAAAAAATGGAGCAGTTGAGCTGGCATTTTAGATTTGGAGGGGGGTGGGAGAAAGAAATCCCCCTCCTTTGTCTGTAGTGTTTTTATTTTTTTTTTTCCACCAAGCTGCTGGAGTGAAGCAGTTAATAGTGATTTTTTTTCCCCCATAATTTTTAATCCACAACGCTGCCCTGTACCTGCCCTTATAATCCCCTAGCATGTGCTGGTGACATCACATGGCCATCAGCTCCCAGCTCCATCCCTGGGACTGTCATTAACTGTTGCAAGCAAATGAAAAATGACTGCGAGACTCGGTGGCTCCCACCAGTGACCTTGGGTATTATTAGAATGACCTCGCTTTGGCTGGACCATAAAAAAAAAAAAGAAAAACCTTTCTTGATATCATCGCTGGGGCTGACTGAGGCTGTTTGCAGCGAGGAGCAGGGAAAGGAGTGGAGAAAGCCATTAAAGGAAGCAAAGGAAATGTTATGCAAAGATGCAGTGGCCATAAATACTTGATCAGAGGCACAGCCCCAGCAGCAGCCCCACAGCCTGACCCCTTGCCAGGACACGCTGGGCGATGCTGGGGTTACCGAGCACCTTGCTGGGAGTATTTTTTAACCAACCTCCTCTTTGTGATTTGTTTGCTTGGGCTCGAAAGGAAAATAAATCACGTGTAACCACTTAAGGGCTTATTGGCCTCTCACACCCTTATATTCTGACTTGCTTTTCTGGTCCTGCACACAACTCTGTGAGCAGAGGAGGGGGCAAACTGGGCAGAATGAATTTTTTTTTTTTTTTTTTTTTTTTTTTTTTTTGGTGCAGTATATCACAAGGAAAACGTGTATTTAGATACACCTCCTCCCTGTGCAAACATATACATACAGTGCATGTTTATTAATGTGCATATGTATGTCAACATAAATACTTAGCACTTATAGATGGTCATATTTATGGTCATGCATTATTCTCAATGCACAGGCATAAAACGAACAAATATTCATTGCATGTGTCTGATGTTGCCTTCTATATAATGTATAATAGTATATATAGTAGTCATGCTTCTTCCCGTGTCCTCTGGAGATATTTGCAATAAAAATAAAGATAAAATAAGAGTAAGAATTAAAAAGAATGAGAATGACAACGAGAATAAGGATAATTCAGATATCTGGGCCGGAGCATGAGGATGTTCTGGTGTTTCATGCCCTCCCGGCAGGGACCTGCAGGCTCCCCCAGGGCAGGGGTGCCCAGGACCCCCAGGTCTGGTCCCGGTGTGGCTCTGGGTGACCTCGCCAGGCTGCAGTGCTCCCCCCGGGGGGCTGGTGGGGAACCGGGGTGCCTCGGGGTGTCCGTGTGAAATAAAGCACAAAAGCCATCCTCCCGCCCTGTCCTGCCTGGCTTCTCCGCTGGCAGCTGGAATGGATCTGATGCCCTCTGGACTTTACATCCCGCCGAAAAGGCCATTTTCTGACAGGTTATGGCAGGCTCGGAGAGACTCGGAGAGCTCAGCGAGGAGAAACAGCGAGTGGAGCCAAGGGCTGGGAGGGGACAGACTGCAGATGTTTGGCAGGAGGGAGGAAGGTGGGTTCGGGCTGGAGGTGTGAGCAGGGACAGTGATGTGAGTGTGAGCAGGGACAGTGATACCAGGGGTGTGAGCAGGGACAGTGATACCAGGGGTGTGAGCAGGGACAGTGACACCAGGGGTGTGAGCAGGGACAGTGATGTGAGTGTGAGCAGGGACAGTGATGTGAGTGTGAGCAGGGACAGTGATACCAGGGGTGTGAGCAGGGACAGTGATACCAGGGGTGTGAGCAGGGACACTGATGTGAGTGTGAGCAGGGACAGTGATACCAGGGGTGTGAGCAGGGATAGTGATGTGAGTGTGAGCAGGGACAGTGATGTGGGTGTGAGCGGGGGCACTGATGCCAGGGTGAGCAGGGACACTGATGCCAGGGTGAGCAGGGGCACTGATGCCAGGGTGAGAGCAGAACCGCTGTGCCGGGGGATGCTGCCGCTGCCGGGGGCTCTCAGCGCATCCTCCGCCGGGCAGCGCTCCCCGGGGCGGGGCGGGGGCTGCCAGAGCCCCGCTACCACCGGCAGCTCCTCCTCGGGCAGCAAGGAGCAGAGACCACCAAACCTCCTTTTCCCCCCGTGCTTTCTGCGTGTCTAGAAAGAGCTTCTGTCCTCTTTGCGCCGAGCAGGACACGCTGTGTGTGACTGAAGAGGGAGGGATGGGCTGCAGGTGGTTTCTCCACCCAAATCCTCCATCCTTCTCCTGTTTTGGGCCAGGAGGGCATCTCTGCCGGGCTGCAGGTGGTTTCCCCACCCAAACCCTCCGTCCTTGTCCTGTTTTGGGCCAGGAGGGTATCTCTGCCGGGCTGCAGGGGGGTGCCACCGCCCCGTGGTGCCAGGCGGAGCGGGCAGGGAGCGGCGCTCCGCATCCCTCTCCTCGGACCTGTCACGTACCCAGAAAGATGCCAAGGACTTTATGGAGTCTGTCAAGCACTCAGTACTTCTGTCTTTAGTGGCATCCTCATAGACAAACTTCGCAGGTGTTAAAAAAATATGCCGGGAAATAATACTACTAATACTAATAAAAAAATACCCTCAACAAGCTTAACAGCTGCTCAGGGACACTGCAAACCATCTGATTTTGCAGGATAGGGCTACCATCCTAATTCTCCCTGGCAGCTTTTCAAGTGCGTTTCATCGCTGGTTGCCAATGGAGGATGGCTCTGTCTCTCCCTTCGAGCCCTGCCGGGTGTCTCTGGGAGCGGTTTGGCACCGGGAAAATCAACTCCCATCCCGGGAGCTGGGGAGGGAAAAAAGGGAAAAAAAAAGAAAAAAAAAAGTGCTAGTGTCTGGAAAAGAAATAATAATAAGAATTTTTTAAAAGTTTCGAAGTGTCAGACTGTGAATTTAAGTTTCAGCCGGGGTAATGTTGTGCCTTATGGCAGGTGAGCGCCGCGCGGGGAGAAACGCGACAGTCGCAGACAGTTTGGGGACACTGGCGTGCCTTAAGAGCCCAAGGGTGACCCCGGTGCCAGCCTGCCACCCCTGCCAAGGCACAGGCACACAGGGTTCCGTCGGGAGGGCTGGGGGCAGGAATGGCAGCACGGAGCTCTCCGGCATCCCTTCCCAAAGGATGCTCCCCCAGCCCCTCCAGCCGGCCGGGGGACTGGCAGCTCGCTATTCCTCTTTGGCTCCCGGGTCTCCTTTCGGGTTTATATTTATTTTTGAAGTGTTGAAGCCTCAGTAACACAAAGGGTTTTCTCGGAAGGAAAAACAAACCCCAACGAAATCCCAGAGCAATCTTCGCGGCAGAGCAGAGCTGCCTGTTTCTGGAAATGATGCTTGCAGAAAGGGTGAAAGTCATGAGCCTCTAACCAAAAATGTAACAAACCCTGGCCAGTATCACAAGGGCAAACTTCCCATGGGCCTCAGGGTTTGCTGTTATCCTTGCTTACACTGATAAGTCCTTTTTCTAAATCCTCCAAAGTTGCTCGCTCTTCCCTTTCATGTATAAAGTTACCAAAATCTGACAGATAAGACAGATTTACTGTTTCTGGATAAGACTTATGGCCACACATAAGAGACCACACCGCAAAAGATCACTTAAAATGTGTTGCTGATTCAATGAAAGACTGTTGAAAAAACCCTGTTTTTACTTTAAACGATAGCATGAGGAAAATAATAATATAGTAAGGGGGGAAAAGAGGCAGCTCCCAGAAGAATAAAGACATTTTCTGCTCTGCTGTCACTCGTGTTTTCACCTGTATGTGCGCTCTCAGAGCAGGCAGTGTGGCTCAGGGAACTGCTTTTCTTCTCCTTTTCTTCTGTTTTATTTCAAAATGCAGCTGACACCTTCACAGGTACATGACATTATCGGCACTCACACTCCAAGAAAGGGCTGGGGAATGTGGTGGAAGGATGTGTCAAGGATGAGGCAGGAAAGTGCAAATTCAGAAAATCTTGGAAGTTTTTCTAAAAGCCGTCTGAAAAGAGAAATTAGTGGGGATTCCTCGGATTATAGCATATAC